GTTGCTGTACTGGCTGTTGCTGTACTGGCTTCTACTGTACAATGCAGTGGAGTTGCCATGGTAACGGCTTCACAGTACTCCACAGTACTCCACAAGGAGGCTTCCTCTGGTAAGGGGGAAAATCCAACATTAGAAATTATGTTTGGTCTGGACATTTTCTCCCTCTAAATAAATACCCGGGCAACACCGGGTTATCGGCTAGTAATTACATAAATAAGAATAATATTTTTTTACCATCTAAATGTATGCCTTCCTATTGTTATGTATTCAAATCATAGAATTGCAATCCACATACATATAGAATGAACTTCTAAATCTTGTACTAGTAAACTTTCTCTTGCCATCAATGATTTTCCTGGCTTTGGGTAGATAATAAAATATGAAATCAATGCAGTAGTCTCTTGGGGTGCCCAAATAAAGATTAAGTATTACTTTTTTTTAAATCACTTTTATCTTTTTAAATAGGGCCAGATCTGGATCAACGGTTTTAACCTGGGCCGTTTCTGGCCAGTTCGTGGCCCCCAGCAAACTCTCTTTGTGCCTGGCTTTCTCCTCAGTACCTCAGTACTCAACACTATTGTAGTGCTGGAACTGCAGAATGCACCATCAAACCCAAAGGTACTTTTTCTTGACCGTCCCGTTCTCAACAGCACTTCTAGTTTCTCCCTAAAAGACATGAAAAAACTGGAAGTACTATCCAATTATGACATTGCTGAAACCCATGGCAAAAGAAATGTAGTTGAAATCACTGTCTTGTAAGAATCAAACGAATAAAGAATCGGACTGTAGCTTAAGCTCTAATGAACAAACTATGTAAACCACTGTTATTTGGAGATCAAGGGTCTACCTTGATTCTTAAGACATCTATTGCCGCTTGTGAAAGTACTGAGATAATCAAATAGCATTAGGTTAAAAAAAAAACGGGCTCAAGGATTCTTCCATTTTTTTATCTATGATCTTTGTTCAGTTATTCCTTAATATAACTTTCTGTAACCACCAGAGCAAAAATGTATTACAATTCTTAACTTACAGAACTCCCAATCAGCAGTTAATTCCAGTGAGGCAGGCCCCAAATATCTGGGAAGAAAAGTTGCTCTTTTTAACCAATTCCTAAATAATCTAGTTTAAAATTGAAAAAACTACAGTCTTACAAAGAAGTTCATTTCTCAAATAACAGCAGTCCATTTTAGCTTCCTATGAAGTACTTGGAAACAATTACTTGTGACTTCCCTCTTATGCTTAATATTTCACCACTCCAAAGTGACAACAGACAATAGAGGTGGGATTTCTGTTGTAGTCCCTTGATGCCAAAGCAAAACCTTCAGCTAGGATGGAGCAGTTTCCCCCCGTCGATGGGCTTGGAGACAATTTGTGGAGCAGAAGGAGAAGTCAAGATAATGGAAAGGAATGCAACCCAGGAGAGATTCCCCACAAAACCAGCAGCGCCTACAGACACAAAAGATGAAAAATCATGTGGTTTTTTTAACACAATATTTCTTAGGAAGTCCCCACCCTACCAAAATACCTGGTATTGGTCAAAGATGCACCAGCGTCTTTTAATTGGGAAGCAAATCTCCTCTCAGCCATCAGAGCACGCTAGGATGAAAATAAACAATTAGGAAAAGGTCACTGTATAGAAAAAGAATGGGTTCCATCTTTCTGTATGAAGTTCAATACGTAAACAGTCACAAAATGTTGATGGAAGAATTTGGACAACATGTCAAACTATAAAAGAACGTCTTACATCTCGAATCTATCAGAATCTATTGGATTTATAAGGCTACCCAACACAATATAACTAGGAATAACATACAACATAAAAGCAATAAACTAAAAGAACTATATAACACTAACATACACAATTTATCAATATAAAATGGCAACTAAGTACAATAAAAAACAATCAAAAAGTAACTTGTGTATGGAAAAAGCCTCTCTTAGGGTGAGTGGGGGATTGTTTCAGAGCACAAAGGAAGCCATCCAAAGGCATGCTTACAATATTAGTTTCCGAAAGGTGGCAAGATTTAAGAGGGAACCTGGGGCATGCTCTATGGGAGTGTGTGGAGTGGGGGGTGGAGTGTTCTTTGGAGAAGGTAGTTCTGCAAGTTTACTTACTACCAGGCCGTGTAGAGCTTTAAAAGTGATAAGCAGAACCCTGAATCCTGTTGAATCTTCTTGGAAGGCAAAAGAACTTACAGTGTAGCAATGTTACATGGGTGTAACAAACTATTGGGGGCAATATGCTGACTCTGTCATAGTGTAAAGCACTATGGGGTGCTATATAAAATATAAGTCTAGGTGCTATTGCTATATTGCAGCAGAACATTTCAGTAAACACAAGAACGAAAACCGCTATCACTTTTTAAGCCACTTTAAGCTCTGACCTTCTCACGATCACTGAGCAGGGCAAACCGCCTTTTCTCTTCCTGTTCTTGCTCCAGAAGTAATTGTGCTTCACGGTCTTCTCGTTCTCGCTGCTTCCGTAGGGCTTTCTGTGCTCGTCGACGTTCTGCTTGTCTGGCTTCCATTTCTGCAGTTAGAGGGCCAGGCACCTGTGGTTATATTGCATATGTGAATCAAGTAGAACAGGAGGATATCCCAATTAAAAAAAAAGATCCTAAAAAAAACATTAATCATCTCCTATGCGCTGCTTGGAGAATCTAAGCATGGGTTAACTTTTGTCCATTTGCCTTGAGACTGAGTTAGCAAAGCATTGGCCACACCTCCTTCATTAATGAACAACCAATGGGTGGCATTTTAGCTGATGGATGTCAACTCCCATCATTCCTCCCTAAGTTGGTAAAGACATTGTTTCCACTCACCTGAGCTCGGGTGTAATCGTATCTATCTGGCTGTTCACCCATGAATCTACGGAATTCATTACGGGTTTGCTTGTTGGTAGACACACAGTATGGAGGCTGTTCTTTTCTGTCCCTGGAGTGTAAAGCAGTGGGTGCTTTATAAAACAAAAACCATAGAACGCTTACAAGAAGGAGCACCTTCAAGATAATCATTGCTCAGACAAAAAGATGGGGAAACCTTTCCAGCTATGAAATAGGACAACTCTCTTCTAGTTTGTTACTTGGGAGACTTAAACCTCCATGTAAATATGCCAAAACAATTTTGAATACCTTGGCTCTTGTAAAGCATTAATTTCTTATATTTATGAAAATTCTGGACCCATAATGACTGGAAGGGAAACTAAGACACTGGCAGAGATGTGACAGAAGAACTTAATTGTTGCTTATCTCAGCTGCTTATTGCTAAATTTGCAAGTGAGATCCTATGCAGAGACTAAATACAGTTCAAAACTGGGGATAACTCAGGCCTCAATATATCCCTCTCCTGATGGACATTACCTGATGGCAGGGTCAGCCCCACTCTCCAACAAGAGCCGCACAACTGCAGTTCTTCCTGCTGCTGCTGCCACATGCAAAACAGTCCAGCCACTCTCATCCAGGGGTGTGTTGAGCAACTGTTTTGTGACTTTATCGCTGCACTCACTGTTATCAGTTGTATTATCAGCCATTCCCAGAAGATGCTGTAGGGCTCCGATGTCTCCCATTTTACATGCTGTAAATAAGGCATCTTGCACAGTTGTGCTGGGAGCATCTGGGAGGAAGTGAAAGGTGTATTCAGGTGCATTTGAGATTATTATTTGGAAAGATGAGATGCTTGGAGTTTATGGAGCTGCCCATCCCATAAAAAGGGCTTCTGGGCAGCTAACACAATAAAAACATCAGTACAAAACAATATACAACAACCCACCCCCAATCCAAAAGCATCTAGCCACAGATTCAACCTGTCAGCACAGAATCATAGTTACATTAGAATAAAGGCCAAGATGGCCAGTTGGAAGACTATAATGTACATTCCACAGGTTCCCAAACTCACCTTGAGACTCTTGCTGTTCTTGGACCTCAGTTGACTCTGGTCCTCTATATACTGAGGTACTGGGTGCAACACTTCCTGAAGTCTCCATGTTAGACTCTGTTTCAGAACACATAGTGGAAGATTCCCTGATTTTAATCAGTCTTCTTAAATCCTTGCCTAATATTTTAGCACCAGTAGGATTTAAAAGCAGATGATATTATACCTGAGATTTGCTAACCTGCAAATTCTAACTTTCCTCATCACTAGCCATGTTGGCTGGGAAATCAAGAACTGCAGTTCAGCAGAGGTATATTGGGTTTCTATTTTTGGGGGTATTGTTCACAAAAGGAATTGCTGCGATTATTGTTTAATGTTGTATGGCGTTGACTATGCACAGTATATATGTGAGTGTATGAAAATGAAAAAATGGAAAATAAAAAACATTATCTCCCCCCCCCCCCAAAAAAAGAACTGCAGTTCAGCAACATCTGAAGGCCACATTGTATCTCCTACTATAGATGCCTCAGATGATGTTTCAAGACACCACCAACCTCTTACAGACTATTTGCCCAGAACCTATAGTTCATTGGCTCCTTGTCTTGGTATGCAAGACTATAAATAAAGGAGGATCTGCAAAAAAAGTCAATCTAGTCCTATAGTCCTGCTTGCTATCCTTGAAGATCATTCCACAAAGCAATAAACCTAATAGATATGCTAAAAGTAGGGTCATTATTTCAACATCTTACTTGGCGGTGTCTTGGGTTTCCTCCTCCTCTTTTTGCGATTCTGTTTTGGTGTCACCTCAAATTCACGTAAATCTAATAAATTTAGTGTCTCCTCCACCAGTTCCAGATTTTCTTTCCCCACTTCTTCGTCTTCTTCCTCCTCTATCTTTGCTACAGAGACTGTAAAAAAAAGAGAGCATAGCTCAGTCTTCTCATTTCCAGATGAAATTGGGGAGAGAGGGAAGAGAAAGAACTAGTTACATTTGTTGTTTCATATTATCCACCTGTATGCCATCAGTTATTAGTAAAGTCTGCTATGCTATAAACATGAACCAATTGCCAAGCATCTGAATTTTGATCACGTGACCATGGGGATGCTGCAAAAGTCGTGTGAAAAGTGGTCATAGGTCACTTTTTTCAGTGTAATTTTGAATGGTCACTAAATGAACTGTTGTAAGTCGAGTATTACCTGTACTCTCTTCGTTCTGTATACACCAGAAGTCAGAAAGAAAGGATATAGAAGATATCTACACTCACCAGGAAGGGTGACAGAATAGGAATAACGATGTATTCCTTCAGCTTCAAAATGGCTGCCCTCCTCACTAGTGCCAGAAGGCTGTGTAGATGCTTCATCCTTACGAGCTGCTTTTTTCCAGGTCTTCTGAGAACTAGTCAGATCTGCCACTGTTGTATTATTTCCTATTTAAAAAAAATCAGAATGTAATTTTAATTTACTTGTTTCTTTCCCCTTAAAATGCTCAAATTGAGATTACACTTCCAAAAGCACCTCCATGGCATAGTTTTGGGCTAAATTTCTAAAATAGAATGGAAAACTTACAAGAGCAGGACAGAACAGAACTCTGATATGCTAGGATAAGACTAAAAAAACTACTTGCAAAGCTTTTAGGGCGCAGTTACAAGTATTTGGGTTGTGCTGAAGGGAATAAAGAAAGAAATCATTCCAGAGAAAGTTTAATTATTTGACTGGCACTGCATTACAGACCTAAAAAATTATCTTTCAAGTGCTAAAAGTCAAGCCAAGAACAGAGAAAAATTAAATGACAGCTCACCATATACCAGCAGACTACTTAAAGTCCCATGGACCCGTTCCACCTCACGGAAGGTGGCTCTTCGAGTGCTGAAAGGAATACGCCGGATACGTGGGTCACCTCGCAGAAGAGGGCCATGCTTGCTGCTAAAGAAGAGAGCTTGGTTATTGTGTGGAGCACGAAGGAAGATGCACTCTGCTTCTTTTAAATAATTTGTCCAGCTCATTAGCAGCTCCTGTATCTCCTGCAGAAAAATATAATAAGAATAACTCATCCACAATATTCAATATTTGTGTGAGCCAGTTTAGCAGCAGGGTACTACAATAAGTCCTGGTTTGCAGCTTAAATACAAAATGTGATTCGAGAGATCCAGGTATCTTCTTCTCCCACAGAACCTTTTTTAACATCAGAGAGGGAATTATAATGGTCTGTGACAATGATCTTGTAAGCAGGAGAAAGAGCCGTAACCTAAACAACAATTATGCAAGAGGGATCATAGCCCACAGGAAGAAAAAGGGCGTATGGGAGGGGTCTCAGAAGGGAACCTCCCTAGTTTTCTGGTAAGTTAGAGGGGAGAAAAATACCTTCAGACCTGCAAGATTCTGTTACTGTAACCTTACAATAAAGCTAGAGCTAGTACTGACGGTTTGTGCTTCTTGCCTGGACTATCTCGAAAGGCTGACAGGAATGCAGACACAGTTCTAGCAGAAAGCTTATTGATATGCAGAAACTGCAGAAAGATGAATCCGTGTAGCTAAGCTATAATGATCCTTCATTACTTGGTTATGCACATATCACTAATAAGAATCTAGACAGGCCCAGAGATTATTTTTTACTCCATGAAGGCCTGGGCAATGTCACTCTGAAATGGGGCCATACGAAGGATCCGAGACCTCTTGAAACCTCTCATTTTGCGGGTTCCCTCTTGGCTGCAGACTTACTTTAAGGAGAGCAGTCTCATTGTAGCGCCGTAATGAGGCGCCAGCAGATTTTGGCATTGTCCCCTGAGCATCTCTCATTCCTTGGGCTGTACCTCGTCGGGCTCGCACCGTGTACCGATGGAAAGTTTTGTGTGCCAATATCTCATTCCTGGGAACAGAGAGAGTATAAGCTTTTAGCAGAAGTAAATACTTAGTACCATTAAGAAACTACACAATGGAATGAATTCAGGTTCTAGCTCGCAGAGAGAGAGACAGACAGACATCTTCCTTTGTTACACAAATGTGTAAAATATCCAAATATACCATTCCCTCATTCATCAATTCTCATGTAAATTGCCATGACATCAACATCAGTACTAGTCTGGAAATTTATGCTATTTTCCCACATTTTATCAGAGACAACCTGCAATGAAATAAGAGGCAGCTTAATAAGAGGCACAGTGGCATCTTCTCTATTACAGAAGCTTGGTAGATTCTGTCTTCTTTTAATAATTTAATCCCTCTCTGCTAACGTATACAAACATACGTTTGTATTTGCCTGAAGGAAATAGATACCATATTTGCCTGAAGGAAATAGATACCATACAGTATCTTAGATGAATTCCAATTGTTGGATCTAAGCAAAAAAGGAATGAANTTTTTTATTTTTATTCGTTTGTTTTCTTTCTTGTTCTGTGTAAGACGCCCGGAATCCTCCGGGATTGGGCGGCCTATAAATCTAATAAATTAAATTAAGTTAAATTAAATGACCTTCTTCTTGTCCTTGTTCTCTACAAGGACAGAATCCAAGGCCTCCCCAAAGAGTTTGTCCCCTTTAAAGGGGACGGAAGCGAGCTTCCACTTGGACCTCACGTCCAAATTCAGTGTCTGAGTCAGAGAAGGCGTCGGGTGGTGACATTGGATGCTAAGGCCCTAGACCCAAACTTGGCGGCATTCAGAGTGACATCAGCCATGTACTCCGTTGCCGCAATGATTTTGTTGACATCCTGTCTAAGCTTAGTGTCCCCAGCCAGGAATTTGGTGAGCAACTGCCTCAACCAAAGAAGTGAAGCTCTGGATAGAAAGGAAGCGGACGTCTTAATTGCCCAGGCAGCCGCCTGATGCATTTTGTGGCAGGCCTTTTCAGCTCGCTTGTCCTCCGCCTTGAGCCCTTCAAGGTCAGGGGGAAGGACAGGTGAGGGTGTGAGCATGGCCACCGGAGCGTCCACAGGGGGCAACCTGAACAAGTCCTCCAAGCTAGCATCTACAGTGTACAGCTTCCTGTCACTACCACTAGGGGTGGCAAGGGTGCCCGGCTGCGCCCACTGTTTCTGCAGTACATTTAGGAATAACTTTGGAACAGGAACTATTTCTTGAGGTTGGACCGGCTCCTCAAAGAGGCCCTCACTGAGGTCTGTGGGATCCGGAACAGGTTGTTCAGGGGCAAAAGAACCCAATCAGGTTGAGGCTTTACCCTTACCCAATATAGACTTGAAATTGGCTTGTTTAAATAAACCTGCAAACGCAGGCTTGTCAGGGATGGTTCCTTCATCCCCCGAAAATTCGGGTTCCTGCCCTGGAAGAATGTCCTCCTCCCAATCTGAATCCACGCTGTCCAGTGAGGAATGGGGTGACACTGGCCTCTGGGCCTGGTCTGCAGGTCAGGAGGCCCCAGATTAGGCCTAGGCACTGTGCGCGCTTGGCCTTGCGCTGCATGCCAGCCTTGATGCCTTGAGAAATGGCCCTGGCAATGACCTCCTGCATCTCTGAGGAAAGTTTGGGGGCCCGGTCCTCTGCGGAGCGGGCCCTTTTGGGTGGAGGGGGCAAGGCCTGTTGGGGGCTAAGGGGGCCGCAGGTATGACTTCCTCCTCCACTTCCAGCTGGCAATCAATGAGGCCAGCATGCTCAGTCATCGAGGGCCCTGGGGAACCGGCTGTGATCAAGGAAGCCCCAGGGGAAAATTCCTGTTCCTCCTCACTGTCCAATATAGGTAGCGCGAGCCTGGCCCGATCCACCGGAGAAGCATCCCTGGCAGGCTCCTTCCAAAATGGCCACTGCCAGCCAAGAGGACCTGAAAACCACCTGCGGCTTCGGGCACAGTTTAAAATAGAAGTGGAGGTGAGGTTCCATGGCTATCGTGCGGAGCCCTGCCCATCGTTTGCACTCTCCTGCCTCCAATAGCCTGCCAGGCAGTAGCAGGTGCCTGGGCAACCCCAGGACCCCTGAAACTGCAACGGTGAACCGGAATCCAATCAAAATTATTTAACTCACCAAGCCTGCTCTCTGAGGAAAAAAGAGAAAAGGAAAAAGGAAGAAAAAAGGGTACTTTAAAAACAAAAAGAAGAGTCCAAGCAATATGCCTAGAACTCAGAGAAATAGAAACACATTCACTGGGCTTGAACTGAATTGAAAACAACTGGCAGTCAAGGCAACCAAGAGGTGTGGCTAAAGTTTCAATTCAGTCCTGGGCAGGTTGGCTGAGTTTAACCTTTCAACTCCGACGGTCCTTGGATGAAGCAGATTATCTAGATCCCTTCCAGTCGGGTTTCAAGCCTGGTTACTCCACCAAAACTGCTTTGGTTGCGCTGACCGATGATCTCTGGCGGGCCAGGGATAGAGGACATTCCTCTATCCTGGTGCTTCTTGACCTCTCAGCGGCCTTCGATACCATCGACCATGGTATCCTTCTGCGACGACTGGGGGAGGTGGGAGTGGGAGGCACCGTTTTACGGTGGTTCTCCTCCTACCTCTCGGACAGGTCGCAGTCGGTGTTGGTTGGAGGACAGAGGTCGACCCCTAGGCCCCTCAAATATGGGGTGCCGCAGGGCTCGGTCCTGTCCCCCCCTCCTCTTTAATATCTACATGAAGC